CATGATACTCCTGCAAGTTCATCTGTAGTGGAAAACACTTCTATCTACACAAGCCAACATAGCAGCAGGAGAAAACCTACTCCATGAACAGCCCACTCCATGATTTTGTTCAAGAAATCAGTGCCTCAGAGGTCCTATGGCTCTGCAGCAGGGCCTGAAGGATTTTGGTTCTACATTTTTTAGTGTTTCTTCTAGATCTCTTGAGCAAGAACTTTCCAGAGACACCCACAGGTGCAGCTGCTTAGGGGTCTGCAGTTCAGACCAAACCGATTCATCTCCACACGTAAGATCACAGAAGGAAAGGAAGAGACTCTGGGTCTCTGCTATAGACAGGAAAGCATGAAGGGGGATTACAGTGGTTTGAGTCTCACTCTGTGGGTGGGAATAGGTAGGTGTGGCAAGTCAGAAAAAGAGTAATTTGTTGTGAAACATCTTCTGTAAATATCCCACACGACGTACAGCATCCACTTCTTTACAGCACTGAGTCTCACCCACTCACCTGAGGTGGTATCAAGCAAGACTCACTTAAAAGGGGCAGTCCATGTAATATCCACATGTGCTACAGAGGTTAAGGAAGGTTTCCAGCTTCAGCCAAAATGCCAACAGCAGCTCTGCACTGAGACTGCCTTAGTTTCAGGGGGGACCTGCAGTCTGGAGAGCACTGCGCATGCAGAGAGATGGAGATGTGCGGCATCTCAGACCCTTTTAGCTTGGAGGTAAGGCTTCAGCCCCTCAGTTCAGGCTTCTTGTGCAGTGACAGAATAAGATGTCCCTCCCAAGCAGGCAGGGTTACTAAGTCGAAAGGCTTCTCCCTTAAAGCACTTTGTAACAGTATATTTCAACAGTGTTATTTATATATATGCTGCATGCATTATTCATCTTTTTGCAGCAAGCAGCAAGAGTGGAGGCAGCTGTCAGTCCAATTAGTGTTTCAGAGCTCTACCCTCCAGCTGCCTCTGTGGGGCATGATAAGGAATGACATGGTCCATGGGAGAGGTAGCCCATGGTTTTGGGCTGCGGAGCAATTATTTGCCAGGCTAGCTGCAGTCCCAGAAACACCCACCATATCCAACTGTGTCTAGGGAGGGCTGGAGGAGGATTTTGCTACAAAAAGAGAGGTTTTCTTGCATCTGTGTTGTACCAAATTCAGTCAAATGCGACTCTCCTCTCAGCAGCTTTTCTACACTCCTTCTCTTGCACCGTTGTCTCCCAGGGGTTCTCCATAAAAGATTATAAAAACTCCATAACTTTGGGATTGTAGCTTACTTTTTCTACAGCTTGGTAGATAGACTGCTTTGCATGTCAGACTAACGATTCTGGTTGGGATCCTTCTACACAATTAATTTGAATATGAAGCACGACATAAACAACATCTTGGTTACTGTTAGTGATACTTGTGTCCACAGTGGCTGGATGTGCTCCAGCCTCAGAGAAGTTGAGGAAATCCAAGAGTTGTCTGTCTTCTATTCTGCTTACACATGGCTTGGCTATTACACCTTGGTGGAGGGTCATTATGCAATCCCTGATCCTACTGCGTAAGCACTTAAAATCAAGGTCAGATTTTTGGCTGGCTGTATTTTAGTCATGCTACTCTCTCTGCTAAGAAAAAAGTTTATAAAGTTCCTAGAGAAAACATAAATTAGCACAAACTTCAAATCTCTCTGACTTATTCCTGCAGAAAGCAAGCATTTTATCCAGTTACAATGTCACCTCTGCTGCTGATGCACATACAGCACCTGGCACTGGAGTGGCTGTTCCACAATGCAAACAACAAGGAAGACACCTTGAAATTCTCACATTGACAAATACATAACACAAATTTCCTCTACATCCTGCTTTCAGCACAACAGACAGTCATATTCCCCAGTAGAAAATAAGGAAAATGATAAAACTAAAACTGCAGATGAAACATACCTCTTTGGCTGATGACTTGGTACATGATAGAAGTTTGATGTTATCAATTAGAAAACAATTTGACTTCAGTCTTTTCTTCTGGGTATTATGGCCAGGATCACACCAACACTCTAAACTAAAAGGATCTGTTCTAGCTCAAGTATTATTTATTCACATGCTTTATTATTCTGTTTCATGGAGAAGTGCAAGGACAGCATCTCATTAACTGATGGAAAATAAAGTTTTCTTTTTTAATGAATATGGTAGCTCTGCAATCAGGGTTAATGTTTAAAACACTAAATCTACCTAGAGATATAATGTGGCTAGGAAACTTTCCATGCATTCAGTAAGAGATGACAGCATACAGAAAAAATACTAATCCCTTGTTATCAGTTCTAGGTACCAGACTAAATGCAATTGCCAGAAATTCTCAGCAGAAGTTGACAGGACAAAGACAGGGTTCATTTAGGGTCACTGGAAATTCCTGTTTCATTTGCATAAGCATTTCAGCAAGTACTTTATGTCTGCTTTCCAGCAAAAGCTTAAACAATTAAGTGTAGCCACATATTAACAGCAAGCAATTGTTTGACATCCAGATCTTCAAAAGTATTTAAATACTAACATCTACTGATTTCCAGGAAAGGCAATCCAGCATCTTAGCCCAAATGTCCTGCTAGGTGGAGAGGCATAAATCTGCCTGAAGCCAGTAGGTCTGTGCCATCTGTGTCTGGTTTATGGCAGTTGATATGATGGTAAAGAATAAACATCAAATTAGGAAAATATTTTATTTGAATTTCTAACTATATTTCAACTTCCCTCTCTTTCTGACAAAAGATAATGAACTTTTTATTCTCTTAAGGTACGATAATATCCTCATAGAAAATTCATACTAGATTTTATAACTATTTAGTATATTCTTTGTTTATGGTCTCAGTGAATTGCTATGTTGTTATACAAACCAGAAAACGACAACTACAAATAACAATCAGTCTCAGCCTCAGGACACACAACAAGCTGAAGAGAGTGATCTGAAAATGCTTTAGAGATGCTTGCCAAAACCAGACTTACTGTTTACGGCCAGAACAGATGCCTGCTCATTCAGATGGGTACTTAAATTAGAAAAGCAGATTACATGTACACACACATCTCCGAGTCACCTGCGCTATGGCTATGGCTGCGCCAGCCCGTCCTCCAGCCTGAATGAAAGATGAAGAAAGGCTGCGGTGTCTGCTTTAACATTTTAGGCTGGTAATCGTAATTAGACTGGGATTTGCCCAGGGTGTTAGCGACACTAGTCAGGGTCACAGAGCTCAAATGAGCAACAAAACCACTGGCCTTCATTTAGAGACATAATCTGTTTAATAAATATGACTGTAAAAGCAATAAACAATAGCAATTATACATTACGCTACATTGTCTTTAACGAAAGGGAAAAAGAAGATGAAAAATTACATCAAAAAAAGTAATTTTAAAATTAGAAATAGTTCCAACACTCTAAGAAAACTTTTTGATCGGCATACTATAAAAATAAGTTGGCTAATGCTGGACTTCAGTGGGGACTATCATACAGTTGCTGCCAAAACTTTCCCATCTTTCTTAAAGCTGTAGTTGCAAAGACAATAGCAAAGCCATACGAACTGCTGTGTTTCTACCTGTTTTCAGAGAAACTACAGAAAGAGGCAGAGGACTCTGTGCTGTGATTATCCTTTGACTACTACAGGCCTAATGTTCTTAACACTTGGTATCACATTTTTTTTCTTTGATCACTTTCTTTTTTTCTTTGCCAGCAAGTAGGTTGCTTGGGGCTCACGCTCATTTTGTGCCAGAGAAATTCAAAAAAACAACCACCACCAACTCCCCACCGCAGGACTCTGGGCAATGCCAACGACACTGCTTTCTTCTGTTTTTGCCTCAAGCTGCCACGTGCAATGTCTACTGAACAAAACCCGCTCACGTCAGGAATCGGTGCCTCCTAAGTGTGCTACATTGGTTATGAACTGGCCTCTATTCGCCTTCACCTAACACAGTTAGGTGAGTGTTTTTGTCTTTCTCTCTTTGCATTTCAAACCGAAATCCTGGTGCTAGGTTTACCTGAGTTGGGTTGGAAATCAACAGCCATGACGACCACAGGTTAGGCTTCAGCCAGACATCCAGTGTCCTGGGAGGACTTGTAGGTATGCTAAACCTGCTTTCCTGCTGTTTCCTTGCATAGTCTACATGCGCATGTCCTGCAGCCTCAGTTCTAGTTACAGTTTAAGATACAAGCTTATGTTATTGGTAAGAAATCAAATCTTGCACAAGAGCAGTCTAGTGCTGGGGCTCAGAATGCCTGGCAACAATCTCAGGCCAAATCCTCCTTTATTCTCCGTCCTCTGCCCAGAGTAGCAGTAGTTTGCAGATCTGCAATCAAAGGGGCTTGCCGAGAAGGCACACAGACTTTTCCCTGTTCCCTATTCTATGGACAAAGTGTCTTTTCAAAAAAATTACAGTCCTTGGGGTGACTCTCAGAAGGCAGAAATCTCCTGGGGCTTCCTCAGACAAATCCAAACATCAGCACTAAACGCAGCTGAGGGTGCTACTAGAGCTCTTCCTTAGTCAAAATTGAAGGTGTAAGGCTGGTTCAAAGTACAGTGTAAATTCATGCTGGCAACAACCTCCTGCTAATGCAGTACGGACAGACCTCCCTGCCTGTAACGCATGAGTTCTATTTCAGCAGTGGGATGCCTTAGTGTGAGTAGGCTAAAAAAAGCTGTTTAAGGAAGAGTTTGGCTTTGCAGTTGGGATCACCCACACTTGCACTCAGCCTCCTCGCAGCCGTGGGGCACGTACAGCAGCTGCAGCTAGAGGAATGAAGGGCAGAGTCCAAACAAAGACATAAACCAGACTGACCAAAAATATTTTCAGTGCCTTTTAACTCCAGTGTGATTTTTTGTGTGTCCTATGAAAGTCTGCTGGGGCGGCTAGGCTTCCCGCAGCCCAAAGTGCTAAAAGAGCAGTTAAATCTAAAGCCAAGAACCCTATATGCCCCCTCCCACCTCCCCCAGCCCTTCTCCCCCCACACTAAGCCCACCCCTCTCCCTACAGAAGCGACCCCCATGCATATTCTTGGCCTATATCATTATGAATTTTCTACAAATCAGAGACAGATCAGAAAAAAAAGAGCATAGAGGGGTGAGGGAAAGGGCTGCAGGAGTGAATAGTGGTACCAATTCCTTCCCCCCACCCCCCCAAATTGAACACCTGTACAATGTAGTTCCACTATGGTCTCAGTATAATGTCCACATGCACAGGCTTAAAGCTAAAAACCCTTTGTCATCTGAAGAATTAAAAAGTCCAAATGCAGTGAGCTCTCCTCTTTTTTTAGATTTAAATATATATCGGTGTCCTCAATTCAACCATTTACATAGGTAGGGATTTCTTTTGTGCTCTGGGGCTCAGCAGCTGTGGAAATACTTCCTGTGGCAAAGAAAGAACAAAATAAAAGAGTTAGTAAATAGTAAGTGCGTTTAGCCAAGGAAGATATTTGAAGGTATGACCTTGCTGGCCTTTGGGATTCAGCTGTTCCAGACTGACACATTCTTCCCAGAAATCTTTTCTTGTCATTCAAAACACTGAAGGTGATGTCCTGTTCTTTTACTAATGAAGGTGATTCACTCATATTGAGCAGAGGAGGGAGAAACCAGAGCAAAGAGGTGGAGGCAAGGAAGGTTTGATGTCCTCAGAGAAAACGCGTAACTCATTTGCAGTGATAAGGTGTTGGGGATTTCATAAATAACCTTAAGCTTTGCATCTGCAAAGTAAGGACCTAAACCACTCACAGACAGAAAGCAGGAATTGCGGGGTTTTGCTGCCAGAGTTTGGAGAGAAAATTAAACGATCCAGGGACATTCATTCAGATTTCTCCAAGGAAGGATCTCTGAATGTTAGTCAAAGGGGTTGAAAAAAACTGGCTTCTGAACAAGCATACAAAAGAGAAACACCCAATTACAGTCTTGCTTTGTTTTCCCAAAAGAAAGAAAACTCATTAAAAGAGAAATTGCTGATTTCCAGAAACAGATGAGGTGGCTGTACAGGAGAATGAAGAGCCCATGCACTTTCTATTCTGCTCACACTTAGGGCCAGACCTTTTCATTTTGTCAATGAGCTCCGATTCTGTTTCCTCATTCATCTTACTGACACGATGGAAAAACACACTTAGGAAGTTTGCTGGACTGATTCCTTTTGATAGAGAATTGAGTCTATGTATCCCACACATTTACCTTTTGTGCTTGCTAGGGCAGTTACAGGTGCAAACCAAGGGCTTACAAAAGGCCAATTTCTGGTTCAATGCAGCATCCAGTAGCATAGCTAAGAAACATAAAAAATGCTGGCTGCCGTAGAAAGCCAGAAATGCTATAGCTCCACAAATGAAAAGCTACCCTCAAAATTGGCTTCTGACTACTCTTATCATAGAGGCTTCAAGGGTTTAGTTTCCAACACCAGCAAGAGCAGTTTTGAAGGTATGTTGAATAGAGCTAGCGCAATTGACTCTTGCCTCTTCAGTCTCAGTGACCTCTGAAAATACATGTTTCCCTACCCCTGGAACAGCACGAACCATGATTCATCACATTCTTTTAGAAAGGTGAAGCTTGAATCCCATCTAACTCTAGAGAGTTCCTGACCTGAAATTGGGTGTTTCTTCCTCAGCATCTTACATCAATTTTGCCTTGGAGGCTTCTTTGGGGGAAAAAAAAAACAAAGAACAGCCAAAAACAAATGAAAGAAAGAATTGTTAAAATTTAGGACCCACCGCTCCGGGTTTTGGCTTGAAACCTCTTGGTGATCCACAAGCCTTTTGGAAGTCTTCTGTCCAGACTACCTTGGTTGCATTTCCTTTCCTTGGGTTCTGGACTGTGGCCTGGAGTTGCTCTGTATGGGGAACACCACATGGGAAGGTTGGTCCCCTCACTCCTTCCTGTGTTCTGCTAAGCAGGGATGTCCAAATCTGCTGATGAATAGCTGCTTAAAAGCTACCAGATCTTTCCTTAACTGAACAGGTGAGGAGAGATCGGTATTGATTGCAGCGGAGCTTCCAGCTGCAAGTCAAGAGACTTTCTTCTTTTTCCTCCCAGGCTGTTTCACAGGCCACAATCTTAGCACATCACATTCCCTCCTTTCATTGCTCTTCCCCTTGTTCCCTCTCTGCAGTAGCTATGACTCCAAGCCTGCTTTAGCAAACACTCCCATGCATTTTCGGACATCCTTAGGTGGAGTCTAAGGTTCAGTTACGCTGATGAAATTGTGCAAATAAGGGATCTCAGTTACGACTATGCTTTACTAAGTCGAAACAGTTATAAACTTTAATTCCTCTAAAAGAGCTCCATGTCTTTATTTGCAAGAGTCCTGTACCATACCTTTGGAGAACTGTCACCTCACAAGTGAAGCTGAGCAGTGCCCAAGCAATGCTGGCTTTAGCAGAACATGTCCCCAACGCTGAAACTTCCCTGTTCCATCCTAATACTTTTACTGCAGTCAGGGTAACAGAAAATATCAAAACATGAGCAAATGTGTGACTGATCTCAGTATGAGCCCTTCAAGTCTGTTCATTTACTCTTTTCACAGGTCCTGCGAAAGTCTCCTTTGCAAATTTGCAACCATAGAGGCCCATAAGAGAAATCAGCCTCTGGACAAAGCCTGATGTTCAGTGCTGAGATCCCAAGTTTTCTTGGATTTCCATGGGAATCAGCCAGACTAGCATTGCTGCTGGCAACAAGGTCTGGCACACAGTCAAAATATCCACAAATATTTAGCTTTTACATCTGACTTACCGAATCACCTGCTCACCTCCATGTTGCAGGTGAGGGTGGCTGAAGTTGTCCTGGATGTGGGGTTTAAACCCGCCACTATATCAGCCCCACCAAAATAAATTAAATTGCCTTATAGCGCAAGTTAAGTGCCAGCAGGATCTTTGGGAAGGAAAGGGAGAGGATCTACACAGAGCAACTAGGAGAGAGAAAAAGCCTAAAGTTGTTCCCCTCCCTTTCATCACATGGCAGTGCGGGAGAGGAAAGAGTTAGCAAGGTTTCCTGTAGCAAAAGTAATGCTGCAGCAGAAGAGGACAGGAGGAGGAGTGTGCAGGAATACGGGAAGGAGGGAGACTGAGAAGAGGATTAGCCAATTATAAATCAGAGTCTGACCAGCTGCAGGAGGCTGCAAGTTATTTACCTATGGGCTGGACTTCCAACTTCTCATCTACTAGTTGCTCAGGACTCATCAGCTCACTTTGAGGGACATTAGGTATGCTTTCCCTCTGACTGACTGGACTGACCATCTCTTGATCTTTTTCATTCTGCATCTGTGCATATATATTAATGCCAGGAATCTTCCTAAAACATTAACAGAAACCATCATTGTGGGGTACTCTGGCAGATGATGTAGTATCAGCTTTTACAAACCAAGAAACAAATCACTGTGAAAAAGAAAACCCAGCAAAACAAAACCCAAACACATCAGTGGCGAGAAGGAAATGGCTCAGGGAGAGTCATACCTTTTGAACTTGTAGATTATAAACACAGCTAGTCCCACAAAAACAACAGAGAGGAGCATCAGCATAGCCGAACCACTGTGACTGGGAGTGAGGTCCACCAAGGGAGCTGCAAGAGAGGGACAGAAGGTTAGAGCCACCCCAGCATAGAGTGAAAGCCACTCCCTCAAGATAAATAGTTCATTCTCTCCTTACTGCGCTTTTACCAGGCCTCATCTGTCTCCCCATGTCTCCAGGGCTTCTCTCCCTTTCCAGTCCACCTCGGAAGAAACCTGGGTTCAGACCACTTAAGCTCCACCTACCCCTTGATGTGAAGTCCCATAGCTTTCTCCTTAGAGGCCTCTCTTCTCTGGCCTGTTAGAGGACTGCCTGAAACATACTCGTCATATTGCAGAGAATTACATAAGGTAGTTGCAAATGAGATCCCTTGGGTACCAAAACTGGTATTTTCTGGATGATCTTGGAGCTACCATAGGCTAACCTGTCATGTTGACTTTCTATATTGCTTAAAGCTAGTTTGGGTAGCTCACAATGTGAAGCCGATAATGAGCAGCTGACTCCTCAATTTTACTGAAGCAATGATGCTCACCACATGTATTGTTTTCTGCTCAGTCCTGTTCCTTCACGACCAGAAGTGCCTTCACAGACGCTGCCTCAGCATCCATGCCTTACCACAGCAAGCTCTTCTCACACTTCTGACATCTTCAGTTTGTTCCTTTATCCCTTTCCCTGCTCTTCTGAACAGGCTTTACTCTTTCCTCTAGTGCCCTGTTCTCTCTCCAACAAGTCTTCCATGCACAGGGTCAAGAAAAAAATATCACCAAAACCAACCTTAGTCAAACAAAAAGTCTCTTTGTGCTTCTCCTCAGAGTTTGCTTTCCACATTTTCATAGCCTCTGGCAAAATAAGGCCATACAAAACAGCCAGAAGCTTTCGCAGAAAAACAAAGTAAATTGTATTAAATAGAGAGTTCCCATCACTCATATACACAGATGAATGGAATGTCATCTAGCATCCAAAAAGGGACACATTTAAATCCAATAGTCTCAGTTGTTCATGCAGGTCCCCATGTGTTGCCTGATCTAGTTGAGAGGCGTGTCTGCCCATGTCAGGGACGTTGGATTAAATGATCTCTAAGGTCCCTTCCAGCCTAGGCCATTCTATGATTCTATGAAAACGTGCTGTGGGCATGTGGGCAGCCATGCACCTGTAGCTGTGCCATTACACAGAGCTAATGCACGCAGCAGATATGCCCTCACTGACTCTATCTGGCATTGCACACAAAATGAAGCATAAATACACTTTTTTCTGCAAGGCAGTGAAAGTTAATTTGAACCACTGTCATACACATCCTTTCTCTGCTTCACATGCACTGAACAGACCCATCCTAAACTGGAACCCATCTTAAACCAGAGAAAGCAGACACAAGAAAACAGCCACACACAAGCAAATACTTACTCAGACACACACACCCCAAAACCACACACACCAAAATTTACAAAGATAAGTGACGAAATTCTCCTTCCCACATCAAGCAGGCTATGCTGAGGAAGGTGAGGCACTGGAATGAAATGATCCATTATTTCGAATTCCTCACAAATCTCCACTCTGACCCTTTTGCGCTTATATTTTGTGGGTCTCTGCAGTTCTGTGGGATGACAGGGTGGCTCTCTGACCCATTCAGGCTCAGCATCACTCGATGTTCTCGTTCTAACACTGTGTTGAGTGTCTGGCAATAAGCAGCTGTTTAACTGCTTTGAGGAGAATATTGGCATATTTTACTCTGCCTTACAACTGGGGACATTGTTTTGGTCGTTTTTTTCATGAGAAGAATGAATGAACATGATGAATAGATCACAATACGCTGTCCGTAACTCCCATAAATGAATCCCTTCTTCCAATGTGGCATGAACAAAGAAGGTGTAAAAGGACGCATGACACATAGAATGGAGGTGTGAAATGAGCTGAGGCCAGCAGCTGTCTGTGCTCCAGGGAATGCACATACAACATACACACACACATAAAGGCTCACTTCTACAGGTTCTGCTTGAATCACAGAATCACAGAATGTTAGGGGTTGGAAGTGACCTCTGAAGATCATCTAGTCCAACCTTCATCCCAGCATATCTAACCACTACACCACAGCCTCAAGTGCTAGATCTACTTTTTTTTTAAACACCTCCAGGGTTGGTGACTCCACCACCTCCCTGGGCAGCCTGTTCCAGTGCCTCACCACTCGTTCAGTAAAGAACTTCCTCCGAATATCCACACCAAGCCAGTTTAGAGACCTACACTTTTGTTCCCTGCAGCAACTCTGCTGCAGAAATTGCTGCCGTGCATGACGAGGCACACACAGGGAGGAATGTACCTGTTCACTGAGGCATGGAAACATAAGTGTAGGCATACATACACATATGCATGCACTTAAAAAACCACATACTGAGCTTTGTGGTTCAGTCAACTACAGCCCGTAGTTGCTCAGAGTGAGTCCTAGCAAAAACACTGGGAAAGAAGAGATATGATAGACCAGAGTAGCACCTCTAAGCCACGTGCATTCCCCTGGATTGTGTTTTCTAGGGACTGTCTCTGTCTCTGGCTTGTGTTCCAGGTTTCCCTGCTTTATTTTATTTAATTTTCTATAAAAGTTTGGATTTCAAAAGCTGTCTTTCTGGTTTTTTCCCAGCCTTTCGGGACTCTCAGAGGAAAGATGCAATACACTTTCAACTGCCTGAGCTGGAATTCAAACTATTTGGGCAATATATCAGAGCTCAGTAGTGCTGAGCCCCACATTGGGCACCAATTTATCTGTTGAGGGTTAGGGCTTGGGCAGTCGTTAAATGCTGACAGATGTTCTCTAGCCCCTTTCCCTCCCCAAATGGGAATGGAAAGGGAACAAGGCAGAGAGACTTATGGATTGCAAAAAAATCTAAACCAGTTTTAATAAAACAATAACCATATTAACAAGGAAATAATGAAAATAATGAAATATATCCAAAGGTGATATCAAACCCTGCCCCATACCAATCCCCACGGATGCTGCAGAGCAGGCGGCACTGGGGAAGCCCCAGTCTTAGCGGCAGAGGGAAACCAGATACAGGAGTGGGATTCATAAACTCAGGATTGAGATCAAAGACAGAAGAATGGAAAGAGTTCTCCTCAGAAGAGGAGAAGAGGCTTAAAACCTGTGACCCCTCAGCTTTATACTGAATATAACATATATGGAATAGAACAGTTGGTCAGCTGTCCTCTCTGTTCCTCCCCAGAGGTGCAACTTTCTACTTCCTTGTGACTCCTTTTACCACAACCATGTTACATAAGATTTAGCAGTGACCTTGGTAACTACAGGAGTAAGTATAAGCAAGAGCCTTTCTGCAGTCCTTGGTAGTTACTATAAACATCAGGTGTTATCACTTCTGGTAGCAGACACCATCTGCAAAAACATGCTGTTAACTTCAGAAAGTTCAGTCTCTTAGAAGAGACTGAGCTGAAAAGTAAAATCACTGAACCAAATCTTTTCTGTTTAGCTCAAACCAGGAACAAAAGGAAAATTCTTCTTCTTCCTTGACAACCAAAACGATAGTTTTCAGTATCAAAGTACATCTCTCTTTTAGCATTTTGTGAAATTCTAAACTGCTCCCAAGTTTTGATATCGCCAAAATAGGCCTTTTATTTAGACAGGGAATCTGTTATGACCTCTGCATCTTGATAAGAGCCATATTCCCTCAAAGCCCTCACAGTGGCTGCACTCTGGGCTTTTTAATATCTACTTTGGCAGTCCAGGCTCATTTTGCATTCTTACTGAATCATATTTCTGTAAGACACAAAATCCTGTACTGCTCCTATAAGACATTGTGAAGCCAGTTAGAGCAATCACTCACATCTCACCAGCAGCTCTGAAGTACAGCAAAGCCTACATTGCAGGACAAATGAGTGTTTGCATCTATTATAGACAAAAGGTACTCAAGGTTTAGTAGTCCAGGTTTAGTAGCCCAGAAAGTATTTCATCACCTGAGTTAGACCATTACTGTGC